CCCCAGGGAGAGCGGCCCGGTCACCGCTCCCTGTCCCCCTGCAGGTGACGAGAACCTCTGCAACGTCCCCCAGGCCCTGCCCGGCTCCCCGGCCAAGCGCAGCAAGGAGAACCGGGGCCGGCGGCTGCTCTTCGGGGAGACCCCGGCCTCCCCCGAGCAGCCCAAAAGCCCGGGGCCGACCCCGAGGAGTGGGGGGCCAGAGACCCCCCGGAGCTCGAGGGTCAATGGGCAGAACCCTCGGACCAGGCTCTTCCGGCAGGAAGGTGAGTGTGGGCAGGGATGGGGGAATGGAGGAACTGGGGAATATGGGGATGGGGATGAGATAGAGATTGGGATGGGGCATGGGTGTGGGGATAGGGTTGGGGATGGGATGGAGCCAGAGATGAGGATGGGGATGTGTTGATAGAACCAGGGATGGGGATACAGCTGGAATTGGGATGGAGATAGGGATGGGATGGGGATGGGGTCCTGGCAGCACCATATGCCCCCTGAGCCCTGTCCCTCCCTGTGCAGGTACCTGCTACCAGCAGGCCAAGCAAGTGCTGCATGTGGCCGTGCCCGACCGGCTGCAGGGCCGGGAACGGGAGACTGGGATCCTGCGGCAGTTCCTGCGGGAGCACGTCCGGGGCCACCGACCCGGCAGCCTCTACGTGTCTGGAGCCCCTGGGACCGGGAAAACGGCCTGTCTGAGCCGTGTTCTGCTTGACTGCAAGGTCTGTGCCATGGCCAGGGGGCCGCTCTGGGGGGCTGGGCTGGGGGCAGCAGCTCAAGACTGGTGTAACGTTCCCATTCCCGTCAGGATGAGCTGTCCGGGAGCAGGACCGTGGTGCTGAACTGCATGGCCCTGGGCAGCCCCCACAGTGTCTTCCCTGCCCTGGCACAGCACCTGGGGCTGCCCATGGCCACTGGCCGGGAGCAAATCCGGAGCCTGGAAAAGCATCTGACGGCCCAGGGGCCCATGGTGTGAGTTCCCCATCCCTGGGGGGTGGTGTGGGTTCCCCCTGGATGCTGGGAGAGGTGGCCTGGCAGCAGCTCTCTCTGCTTAGGGTGCTCTGAGGGGAGGGTGGGCAGAGTGGGGACTCAACTGCACTCCCCCTGCAGGCTCCTGGTGCTGGATGAGCTGGACCAGCTGGAGAGCAAAGGCCAGGATGTGCTCTACACCCTCTTCGAGTGGACCCGGCTGCCCAGCTCCAGGCTCGTCCTCGTGGGTGAGTGTGTGGAGTGTGGCACTGCCCCCCGGGCACCCTCCCTGTTTTGAGGGGGCTGATGGAGGGTTGCCTTTGCGCTCCCCTCCTGTTGCCTCCTCGGGTCACAGCCCTCATCCTCCTCCTCTCCTCGCCCTGCAGGGTTGGCCAACGCCCTGGACCTGACGGATCGAAGCCTGGCAAGGCTGGGAGCCCACCCGGCCAGCAGCCCCCGCCTGCTACACTTCCCACCCTACAGCAAGGAGCAGCTCACCCGCATCCTGCAGGAGCGGCTGGGGCAGGTGGGGACACGGGGGGACACAAGGGAGACATCGGGGGCTTTGCCATCCTATTGGGGCAGGTTGGGACATGGGGAGGGCATGGGGGGGCTCTGCCTGTGCGGGGGGCAGCACTGATGGCCCCGGTGCCTCGGCAGGTGGCCGGTGACCCCGTCCTGGACGCGGCCGCGCTTCAGTTCTGCGCCCGCAAGGTCTCCGCGGTCTCTGGTGATGCTCGCAAGGCCCTGGATGTCTGCAGGTCAGTGTGTGCCCCAAAACCTGGCAGTGCCAGGGCCAGCGTGGCCCCTGTGAGCCCCCATGGGTCCCCTGCACCGGGGGTACCTGTGCCAGAGGTGCCTCTGCCCTGTGCTCAGCGCTGTCCCTCCCCAGACGTGCCGTGGAGGTGGTGGAGCTGGAGGTGCGAGGCCAGACCCTGCTCAAGCCACTGCCCGGGGGTGAGTTGGTGCTGCTGGAGCCAAAACCCTGGGGGGGCACCTCTGGGTTGGCCTTAATTGAGGTCTGAGGTCCCTTTCTGGGACACCTGCTCCCTGCTGCCGCCTCCCTTGCTCACTCCCCTCTCTGTCCCACAGGTGACTCCCCGGTGTCCCCCGTCCCCAAGCGCGTGGGGCTCCTGCACATCTCCCGGGTGCTCTCAGAGGTGTTTGGGGACCGGCTGGCAGGGGGGCCCCAGGGGGCCCAGGACACCTTCCCACTGCAGCAGAAGGTGCTGCTCTGCTCCCTGCTCCTGCTCTCCCGGCACCTGCGCGCCCGTGAGGTCACCCTGGGCAAGGTGAGTGGCAGCAGGACCCTCTCGGGGCTGGATCTGGGCAGTGGGTGGGTGTCCCTGAGGGTCTCCCTGAGGTGTGACTCCAGCACTGTGACGCCCCTCTGCCCTCCCCAGCTCCACGACACCTACAGCCAGGTGTGCCGGAGGCAGCAGCTCCCCGCCGTCGACCAGGCCGAGTGTCTGTCCCTTGTCACCCTGCTGGAGTCCCGCGGTGTCCTCGAGCTCAAGAGGGCCAAGGAGGCCCGGCTGGCCAAGGTACCAGGGGGGGTGGCAGGGTCTGGTGGTGGGACTGGGGTCTGGCAGCAGGGCAGGATCCAACAAGGGCAGTGCTGAGCATCCCTTGTCTCCCTCCCAGGTCTCCCTGAAGCTGGAGGAGGCGGCGCTGGAGCACAGGCTGCAGGACACAGCGCTGGTGGGCAGCATCCTGGCCCAGGGGCTGCACTAGCCCCCTCCCCATGGCCCCGGGGGGATTTCAGTGCTGTGGCTGGAACAGAGAAATGGCTCCCAAAGCCTTGGACACTTGTCAAGTTGTGCCTTGGGGCCCTCAGTCTGGGGTTCTTTTATTAATATTTTTAATATATTAATATTATTAATGGTATATTATGATATCTGTGGGAGCCAAGGTAGGAGGCTGGAAGACCCTCTCCCAGCACCTTTGCAGCCCCCCCAACCCCTTTGCAGCTGGGAGTGGTGGGTGCTGGTGCTCCTGGCCCTGTTCCCACCCCCGTGTGTGATCCTGGGGTCTGCTGTTGC